TTATGAATTAAAATGAGATTTCTCTATTTTTGTTATTGATTGAACATGTATCGAACTTATCAAATATTGTCATATTTATGGCGTTCAATCCTTAGAACTTATCAAAAGATTATGCACCCTTTGTGGTTTTCGCAAATCGAGGTTCGTTGGTTTTGTAATTAAGAGGTCATTCAAACTTTATTTTTGTTTGGTTACTTAGTTCAATAATTTGTGGGTCGGGATTCTACCATCTACAACCTGAATTTGGGCTTTCTTGACGTTTTTAATTAATTCCACTATTTCCACACTGATCCTGTAACCAGGCTTGCGTCAATTTATGTTCTAACTTTTTTACTTCACATTATTATCACCATCATTCTATTAATAAGCACATCTTATCCCATGACGGTTATGTCCAAAAATTCGTTAAGATTGCATAAAAATACTTATTTACTCCTCATATTTGTTAATAAGAAAAAAACAATAAAAATACAAAATTTGACAAGATATGTGTCCTTCATTTCAAAGCACACTAACAAACATTTTTGTAGAAATTATCATCAAGAATAGGATGCGTTAATGAATATAAGAATTAATGCATGATTGATGATAAGAATGTAACAAAAAATTCTATTAATAACTTTGGGAATCCCATAAAGATTAAATTGTTCTTCAATATTCTTCAATAAAAACAAACTGAAAGTTACTCCGTTTTTAACATTAAAAAGAGTCCAAAAATATAATCATAATAAAATTGGAAAATAAAGCACCAAACAAACCATTATTAAAACTAGAATCAAGAAAGATTGTTCAACCTTCTTTGGTAATCTTAACCTCTTCAATCATCTCATAATTTTTCTCACGTGCACCCATCCTAGACCAAAGACCCTTCATGGATAAATAGTTTTTCTCACGTGCATCTTATGTATACATTAGAATAATTTATACTATATGGATTTTAGATGTCTGAGATATACTACTTGCATATGCATGCACATGTAAAATCTACAAACTTAATCTTCTTAACTTTGTTCATTTTTTAAAATTTTAATGGCCCGCCTTATGGATGAACCGGCGGTCCTACACGCACAGACCCAGTTTGGCCCGTGGATGAACTAAGGCTCGCTATTGGCTCTATGACTATAAGGCCACCTCTTCATGAACCCAACCCTTGCATGGTTACACCTTTAAATCCACCTATATGAGAAATACAAGAAGTTAATATTAGGGGGAAATTGATGAATGACACCATTTAAAATTGCATTTTGACAAATTTCAAAACTTAGTAAAATTGCATAAATCAGTGAATTAGGAAGAAAATAAAAAAGATAATATTAGATGAGGTTCTGTGATAATACATTTGGAATATTTTAAAGGATTTTTAATGATATATTTGTCTCTCACCAAAATCAATCCCTACACTTTGTCATCTTATTAGTTATTCTCTCTCACCAGTCATTTAAAATAGAATTCACTTGGGTCTACAGCAGCAACGTGAAATTCTCATATACGAAGTGGTAGATCTCATAGAAAATAGGGATTAAAAAAAAAATATAAGAGAGGAGAAAGAAAAATATTTTTTAATAGAAACAAATATAATCAGGGCAACACACCCTCCCTAATTTTAGTCTAATTTTAACTTTTATATCGGCAATAACAACTGAAAATAATCTGTTCACCCCAGGTTATTGCCGGTATAAAAGTTAAAATTAACCGAAAATTAGGGAGGGCTTGCCTGGAAAAATATTTTTTAATCATAGCCCTAATATTCGTAGGAGGAGAAAGAAACAAAAAATGCATAATAATTTTTTTAGAAAATCTCCTAAAATCTTAGGATGAGAGATAAATTTTGAAAATTTATTTTTAAAAGCTAATAACAATTTGAATACACCAAGATTTTTAGAGATTTTTAAAAAGCTTTAATTGAATACAACGTGACTTTTAAAGAGTTCTAATCAATACTTTTATATCTTTCAAAAAATCTACATTGAATACCCCTAAACATTTAAATCCTAAATTTTTTTTTAAAATTTGTCAATTGAATACACCTCCGACTCTCATATATGTGTACACACACATATATTCAATCTTAATTCATAACTTAAAATATATGTATTAAAATATGTATTGAGGTGTGTTTGGATGTGGGCACAGTGATTCTCAAATTTGATCTTGTCTATGTCATATGTTCTCTTTGAAAAAAGTAATAAAATATTATTTTTTCCAAAATAAAATGAGTTCCTATTTTACCCTGTTTTTCGAAAATTCATTTTCAATCATATATTTTATCAACTTTTCAACCACATATATCACCATTATTTTTCAAAAGCTATTAAAAATTTAATTTTTATCCAAATCAAACGAGGGCAAAATGTGTTCTTAAACTAAATTACATTGCAAAACAGAGTATATCCACATGAACAGCTATTTTCCAACTCAAATCCACATGAACAGCTATTTTCCCACTCAAATCCGTAAGCGATAATCTCTCAATTATCTTATTTTACGAGATAATTATCTTATATTTTAAAGCACTCGTATATATCTGAAAATGAAATAATTAAATGAATTTCAAGTGATATATATCAACTCAATTATATTAACATACATATTAATTATGCCAGTCCTTTTTATTGCAGTAAAAATAAACTTAAAGTTACATGGTTTCTAACAGTAAAAAGAGTTGGAAATATAACCCTAATGAAATAAACAAACCATTATTGCAGACTAGAAGAATCAAGAAAATTAAAATTGTTCATCCTTCTTTTGCGATCTTGACCTCTTCAACCATCTCACTAGTTGGTTTTTCATTCTCGTCAACAACATATTTTCTCCAAACAGGGTGTGCCTTCCATATTTCTGCCATTTCTTCAATTGGAATTCCTTTGGTCTCCGGCAAGAGTTTGTAAATGAAAATAGTCATTGCGAACACGAAAACAGCAAAAAATATGAACAGACCAAACTTCATTGCGCACATCATTTGCAGATAAATTTCAGCAATGAAAAATGTAAAGATCATATTAACTGAAACATTCACGCTCTGACCAGCCGATCGGACTTCAAGAGGCAAAATTTCACTTGGCACCAACCAACCAAGAGGCCCCCAAGACCAAGCAAATCCAGCAACATAAACGCATATAGCGACAACCACCAACGTTGCATACCATTGTTGCAATTCACTGGGATTCCCATTTAGTCCAAATTTAATTCCAATGCAAACTGTAATAATAATCTGCACCATATAAAGTATATTAATTAAAGTAATTAAAATCTGAAATAGATAAGAAATGAGGTTTTTTTTTTTTTTTTTAGGTACCGTACCTGGCAAATTAACATTTGCAGTCCACCTTCAAGAAAGAGTCCCCTCCTTCCAAACCTGTCAACCGTGGCCATCGAAACAAGAGTAGATACGCAGTTGACTACACCAGTAATTACAGAAGAAAATAAGGAAGCATTAGCTCCAAAACCAATGGTTTTGAACAGAACCGGGGCATAGAACATGAACACGTTCATTCCTGTGAGCTGTTGGAAGAATGGAATAAAAGTAACGAATACCAATTGAGGCCTGTATTTTCTAGAGAAAAGTTTTGCCCATGGATGCTTTATCTTCTTCGATTCGATGCTCGCATTAATCAGATCATTGTATTCTTGATCAACATTGTCGACACCTCGGATTTTTTGAAGTCTTTTCTTTGCTTCTTCATTCTTACCACGCTCAATTAAAGAGTTTGGCGTGTCGGGAAGGCACAATGAACCGAGGACGAATATGATAGCAGGTACTCCTGCACATCCCAAACTGTAACGCCATCCGTTGCCGCCCTTCATTGATGCTGTGAAGTAATTTATTACATAGGCTGCAAGAATACCAATTGTAATTGACAATTGGAAAACCATATTCAGCGCCCCACGATACTTGTAAGGAGCCATTTCCGAGAGGTATACAGGCACGGACTGATTCGCAAAACCAACACCCACACCGAGAAGAGCACGACCAATATAGAGCATTGTTATATTTTGGGCGAGTCCGTTCACAATAGCGCCTGCGAGAAAGAGAGCTCCGCCGAGAAGCATTGAGGGCCTCCGTCCCAACTTACGTGTTACTGTTGAAGCTACTAAGGATGCTACGAGAGCAGCCAAGTATAAGGATGATGTGAACATCGTCAGTTTTTGGCTGTTAAACTTGCAGTACTGATTTGTTCCTCCGATATTCAGTACCTCTTTCTTGAACACGTCCGGAAAGAATTTCTCCAAGAATGGAGGCATCGATGTAACGCCACCTGTACACATTCCGTGAATGATCAAACCAAGAAACTACAATAATTCTTCAAGAATGTCGTGCAATGGAAGATTCATGTATACCTGAAATACCGATGTCGTAACCAAAAATCAAACCTCCCGTAGCAGCAACAATACAAGTGATGAACACTCTGCCGGTGAACTTTCCAGGGTACCCCTTGTTCACTGATGGTGCAATCATTCCTCCGCCAGCCATTGTTTTTGGATTAGGGTTTAGGCAAACAGAGAGGTTAAACCTATAAACTGAACACATATATATACACGTATGAAAAAGAAAGTAGATGCCTAATCTATATCTCTTTGAAGATTTTCTAAACTGTTTAACCTCTTAACCATCCATGCTTATCTATGTGTTTGTTTTGATAAGATTCTGATAGATTTTCTCATTATCTATATTTTGATTGTAATATATATTTTTTTTATTTTAAAATATTGATTTCGGTTGGTTTCTTTATTTGTAGATAATACTGACTTTTGTGTTGCGTTTTATAATTATAAATTAAATAAATTGCTTATTTTGAAAACTATTAGCTAATCTCCAATCAGCCATAAACTTCTTAGAATTTTTCTTGGTAATTGGTTTGTTAAAAAAATATTTAAGAGATGTATAGTATTTTCTCACCATTTATCAAATTATGGGATTGAAGAAACAAATAAAAGTTACCTTTATTCTACAATTTGAGCACTTGTAAATTCCCGCATAAATTCTTAGCAAATAAATGCCTACGGAAAAAAAAAAAAAATTTACTTCATAATAAGATCGAAGAAGCAAATAAAAATTAGCAAAAGAAATGTTGTTACGTCTCTTAGGATAAAGCTCCAAAGGTCAAAACTCTAGGATGACTACTTTCAAAAAACATTAAAAGCAAATCAACTTATAATTGACAAATTGATGTCTAAAAGGAAACACATTGATCATCAAGAAGGAGTCTCGTGTCTTTTGATCCAACAGTGACAATTTTCTCCTTCTACTATAAAAGCTTACACTTGGTGTTATTTGAAGGTAATGCAATTTAATATACTCAAACTATAATTTTGGCATCTCTCGTTTACACAATCTCATAGTATCTCGAGTACTCGAACGCCTTTGTGACTCACATCTCAAGCACGTTATATACCCAATATACTATTACTATCGATCGACTTGTTCGTTAGAGTGCTCGCAATCGCCTCTCCCGCCACCGGAGAAGGTCACGTGCAATAACGGTTTGTCCAAATATATAAGAGCAAGGATACATTGACGTGAATAGAACCGAAATCTGTTGGCCACATCATCATTAAATCGAGGTTAACAAATGTCTTTAAAAAGAACATTTTCGTTATTTTGACAATTTAATCACAGAAGCAAATAAAATAAGCAAATGAAAGGAACAATCGAAAGTAATAAAACTAAGCCAGGTTTGTCTCTTATTTTTATAAAATTCTTTTTTCTACATACTCATTTTTAACCACATATTCACACAATAAAATGTTATACACGTAAAATCAAAAAAAAAATTCCATACTTTTAACAGCACATTCTTCAAAAATTCAATATTTAAAACAATATTTCTTCAAAAAAAAATGGCCACCAAATAAGGCTAACATATTGACTACTGTTTGGCCTGCTGGGAAGAATTTGGGTACCCGTTACAAGATATTTATAGTACTGATTTTGAATTTTTATCAAAATTTCGATTTTGATTGACTTTTAATAGCAATTTTAAAATAGTGAAACCCCTGCTTTGAAGTTATTATTCAGCCATTTTGGAATTTTTTAGAATAATAAAATTATATATACACCCATGTATAAAAAAATGTAGTTTTGTGTTAATAATGTGGAGTGATTGTGTATGTATGGCTTTACATAGTTTATTCAATTATTTTTCTACTGTGCATCGTTTAACCTTTGGATTATCATTTTTCATTGAATTATGAGGTGAAGAAAAATGAAAATAACTGCGAAGCTAATTTAATGAGTAGGTATATCTAAATTTTTTTTGATAAATACTTTTTAAGATATGACATTCAATTTTTTACGTGAAATTTTCAATTTATAATTTCTTATATAAATCTTTTTTTACTCATGAGTGATATTTTATTTATAATTAATTTTTTAGTCCAATATTTATTTATAATTAAATTTTATGTTATAAGTTATTTTTTATACTTAAGTGAATTTTTTACCCCTTGTTCACTGATGGTGCAATCATTCCTCCGCCAGCCATTGTTTTTGGATTAGGGTTTAGGCAAACAGAAATGTAAAACCTATAAACTGAATGTATTTATATACGTATGAAAAAGAAATTAGATGCCTAATCTATATCTCTTTGAAGATTTTCTAAACTGTTTAACCTCTTAACCATCCATCCTTATCTCTGTGTTTGTTTTGATAAGATTCCGATAGATTTTCTCATTATCTGTATATTAACTTATTACTTTTGAATCCGTAAATGCATCTAAATTGGTGATTTTTTTTTTATTGTGACTCAGGTGTCCGAATTTCGTCCGATTAATTTTGAGAAGCGGCAGTCTTCCCCCCAGTTCGCCACCCAAATAAATCCGAATGCAGTCACAGTTTAAAAAAATTTGGACCGAACATTTGTAAAGCAGTTCTTCTTTAAATGTTGTCATTCATTAATTCCCCCTAATATTAACTTCTTGAATTTCTTATATAGGTGGATTTAGAGGTGTAACTATGAAAGAGTTGTGTTCATGAAGAGGTGGCCTTATAATCATAGGGCCAATAGCGAGCCTTAGTTCATCCACTGGCCAAACTGGGTCTGTGGGTGTAGGACCTCCGATTCATCCATAAAGCTGGCCATTGACGTTTTTAACAAATGAACAAAGTTAAGAAGATTAAACTTGTAGATTTTACATGTGCATGCATATGCAAGTAGTTTATCTCAAACATCTAAAATCCATATAGTATAAATTATTCTATTGTATACATAAGATACACGTGAGAAAATCTATTTTTCTCAATGAAGGGTCTTTGGTCTAGGATGGGTGCAACAAGATGGAGTCATTTTTTCAAGTGGATAGTAGGTGAACGTTGTTGGAGGAAAGTGGGGTTTACTAACTTGGTTTGGGTAAGGCTTGATCAGAAGGACAATACTAATAGAAAGAAGTAAGTAAAATGTAACTTATTTTTCTCAATTTCAAGACTTGCACACTTGACTGGACTTATTATAAAATGGATGGACTCAACCCCTTTATATAGGGTTTACATGAACCTTCTAGATCATACAATTTCCTAGAGCCTTCTAGACTTTTTATTTTCATGAGTCTAACCACATATTTGGACTAGATATTTTCCTAAAATATTCTAGATAGAATTTCTAGAACCACATAATCAACTGACACCTTACCATATTTATGACCACATCTTTTACTTAGATATTTATATGCATCTTTCTAGAACATGTTTTTATAAAGGAANAAAAAAGGAACAATACATTTATAAGGTATTTACTTTACACCATTTCAAAAATACCAAAACAAGTTCCAAATTTCACAAATCAAGTTTTATAATTTTTTATTTATGAAATAATGAATTATTAAATATTTAATTCTAATATTATATAATTACCCCACCCCACCTCCACCACCACCACCCCTACCTCTCCAGGGACTATTCCAGTTACTGTTCCGGTCACAACTCATATCCGACGATCGTTCCGACGACTGCTCCAATTTCGACGACTATTTCGATGACTGTTCCACCGCCACTTTGTTCCGACTACTGCTCCGATTTCGATAAGTGTTTCAACTCCGACGAAAATTTTTAGATCACAATTCAAAATTTTCATAGGTTACAATTTGCTTAGCGGTCACAACTTAGAATTTTAAAAGTCAAAATTTGTTTATCAGTCACAGATCATAAAATTTATAAGTCACAATACTTATTTATGGTCACAAATATCACATTAGTTGAACATAAATTATATTTAGGTCACAATTTATCAAATTATTGGTCACAAATTAATAATTTTTAGGTCACACATCATGTATTTGTCACATTTTATCTAATTCATTGGTAACATATCATTTATTAGTCGCCAATCAACCAAATTAGTGGTCACAAACAACCAAATTATTTGTGACCATCACCAAAATCATTTGTGACTACCACTTCGCCACCGTCTCCACCAACAGCACCATCAACATCTCAAAACCAACACCACACCCTCCCATCACACAGAACCACTGTCAAACACCACCACCGCACAGAGCCACTATCAAACACAACTCACTGCCAGTACGCACACACACAATACCCAACCCACAACCTCACCACCATCTCACCATCACCAATGCCTCACCGTCGCCACATCCACAGTCATCCACCACCACAACCCACAAACTAAGCAGTGGCGGTCATCGTCGCCACTAACACGGCACCACCACCAAATCCAACCAGCTACAACAACCACGGCACCACCTCCCCCTCTACGCCACCAACATTAAGGCAAAAACAACATACGCCCCCTCTCCGTGACCGTAACGGATGAAAGAACGAGAAATTAGGGATTTCAAATCGGATTTGGACGGGCGGATCGGGATGAGTAAGGGACAGAGATGGCTGTTGGGAGTGGAGATAATCACCACCGGTTGCAGCTGCTTCAATCTCAGAGAACCCAGACGTTGTAAGCAATAGTCATCCATTGCGCGGTGCTGGGTGAGAGCAGCGCCGGCAGCATCGTGTGGACGGTGGCTTTGCAGCAGTCGGGGAGACGAGAGAAAGAAGAGAGAGATGGAGAGTTGTAGATAGAAGGAGGAGAGTTGAGAGACAGGATATGAGTGGAAGAAGAGTCCACGTCGTGGCGGCGGTGGCATTGAGAGATGGGAGAAGAGATGAGGCGGCTGTCGGGGTAGGTAGAGAGATGGAAGGGGAAGAATTGGTTCAAATGATTTAGGGTTTGGTTGGGTCAAATTATTTTATTGTATATAAATATAAAAATAAAAATAAAAATATTTTTAAATTATTAATTAAAACTTGACTTTTGAAATGTTAAACTTATGATCTTATTTGTGAAATTGGAAATCTAATTTCAGGTTTAGGTGCAATTTCTTCTTTTAGAAATGTTAGACTTTGTTGGACTTTTTGATTGAATTGAGCCAATGAGCAAAATTCTTAAGCCCGTATTACTTACTCAAAATCAAGTTTACTTCCCAACAATAAATTAATGTTTAAATTTGACTTCAAATTATAAG